TGTTCCAGGACGCTGCTGCTGAGCGAGATTGAGAAGGAGGAGCGAGAGCGGCGCTGGTACTACTCCCAGCTGCAGGGCCTGTCGCAGCGGCTGGCCGAGCTGCCGCGCGTCGAGACGGTGAGCGCCTCTATACAAGTGAAATTAGGCCATTGCCTGTGGTTCGTTAGTCCATTCTTAATATAGTGTAAACCGATCATATTAATTATAATTATACTGGTATATTAGTGGGAAGAACAGTGGCACAGTGGTTAGCATGATAATAATTACAATTGTCTAAACTAAAGTGAATCAGGTGTAGTTTTATTCTAGGAGCCTGTGAGCCGCATGGTCGTGTAATACTGCTCGACATGTTTCAGTAATGCACAGCGCCTGGGCTCTAGGGCCAGTTCTAGACCTGGGGTGCTGTCTGCGTGGAGTTTGCATGTTCCTCCCTCTGCCCAAAGACATGCTGGTAGGTTAACTGGCTCCTGAGGAAACTGGCCCTGGTGTGAGTGTGTGTGTGTGTGTTTGTGAGCCCTACAACAGACTGGCGTCTATTGTGGATGTACCCTGCCTTAATGGGATTGGATCTGCCTCCTCCTGTTAGAAAACTGATAGGTGGATAATGCAAGTATTAGTTCTGACTACTACACCTGCGAGAAAACAAATGAACCAGAGCTCTTGCAGTGATTTCCCTACATGTCCCTCATTCTCCATCAGCAGGAGCTTCACTACCAGTTCCCAAACCTGCAGGCTGTGATTTCAGACCCCACTCAGTTCTGCCTCTTGCAGTTCAAGCTGTTTAGAAATCCGCACCGAAACAATAATCCACAGCTGTCCTGCACCTAAGCTCCGCCTGAGCCGCGGCAAGCTGGGTAGAGCCCCAGTCCCGGCGGATGCCTCTCGTGCCCGGCGTGACTGACTCCTGACTCCTGATCCCTGACCCCTGACCCCCTGCTCTCCCACTGCGCAGTTCTCCATGCAGATGGACCTGATCCGCCAGCAGCTGGAGTTCGAGGCCCAGCAGCTGCGCTCCGTCATGGAGGAGAGATTCGGCACAAGCGACGAAATGGTCCAGCGGACGCAGGTGGGGACCCTCACCCTCTGACTCTGTTTGACAGCTGCGTTGATGAACCGGGGGGACCCACGGCCACAACATTAAGAAAAGGGGTGCTTCCCCTTCTTGGAAGCCTCTTTTATCGGACAAGCACCCCTTCTTTTAATTGGATTAAAATTAAAATAAAAGTCCAGTATTCTTACTGTTTTGCCTGTTTTTGACTCAGTGACAATAAGACTATCGCTAAACCTGCCAGGACCCTAAATTAACATCAGCTGTCTGCAGTTCACCTCTGTAGTGGCTGCGGTCCTTCAGGTTTCTAGACTTGTATCTGTTAGTCAGCACCTGATGTTACCAGCTACTCAGTACAGTGTCATCAAAGGCCTTATAGAATTAAGGCAAATGGTCCAGTGGTTTGACTCTGGCTGTAATGAGTTCAGCTGTTTAGATGACTTTGTGATTTTCTTGGACAGATAGACATTAGAATGTGTTTTCTGTGACTGGTTTGTCTTTTTAAATTCTCCACTTAAATATGCATTTCTCTGTATCTTAATGTTTCTGGTAACACAAGAAATTGGCCAGGGCTACACTGTACTTGGAGTACAACAGGCCTTATTATTACGTTTAGAGCACAGCTGGAGAAGTTACTTTTTTGTGCCTTCCTGAAGGGCCTTTTGGTAAGGATGAACCTGTTTCAAATCTTCACTGAGTTGCGCGGTGACTGCTGGGGTCCCTACAGCACACCTGTTAGTGTATCGTTGTGAAGTACCCGGCCTGGCCGAGTTTATCAAAGGCAATCCTCCTGGCCTTGTCCTGCAGGAATTTCAGGGCTGCTTGGAAATGCTTTTGAATCTAAAAAATATAGAAATGAAAGATCCTGTGTATTCCAGGAGTAAACTGAGCAGTGTGTTTACCATGCAAAAGAAAGAGGCTCCAGCTCTCTGCCCTGACGCTCACGTCCGGCTCTTGTTCCAGATCCGGGTGGCGCGTCTGGAGCAGCTGGAGAAGGAGCTGCAGGAGGCTCAGGAAACACAGGAGAAGACCCCCCAGCCGGAGGCTCAGGTGAGACCCGACATTGCACTGCTCACTTTGATACATTTTTAAAATGTTCTCAAAATTGCTGTTAATTTTAATAAGTATACCTTTATCCAAGTAATCTGTTATTTTTGAAAAGTAACTTCACCCCAACACTCTTTATGAATATAATATATAAACGATGCTCTCTTCCTTAGGGCTCTCTTTGTTTCTTTAAAATGAATTCTTCTTCACTGCATCTCCCACATGCTCATTGGCAGGCCAGCAGCGGATGTTTCACAGATGTGCTGAAGTATTAAGATGCAGCAGTTGCTCTGGGAGTTCCACAGAATGCTCCCACTGACACCATACGTTCTAGAGCCGACTCTGGGCCTTAAAAAATTATTACAACCCCCCCCCAGTGAGATGTAATGGCCAGGCACTGCTGCATGCGGACACCTTTTCATAATCAACACCTCAGAGACAAAGTATTCTCACTTGAGCTGTTTGTGATTTGCACACAAGGAAGGACTAGAAAAAAGGCAGAACAAACCAGCTCGTTAATGCTTATGTGGGCATCAAACAGTATGGTAATTCAGCTCAGAAAGGGGAGGCAGACTCTCCTGCAGAGCTCGGCAGAACACAGTAATTATTAATAAAGTAGAGAAAAAACAGCACCCCCGTGGAGAGGTTATTGTTAAAATAGTAATTTAAGAATAAATCAAGATGTTACCAGCTTTCTGGCTGGTGATGCATTCTGAATGGGTCATAAAGTAAATTGCTGAGTACGGTTCCTGTACTTCAAAAATGTTAAAAATTATATAAGATAATAATTCTATAGAAAACTCTCCTTTCTTTGTACTGAATCTTCTTTTTTAATGGGAAGCTTTTTCTACAAATCAGAGCCGATCAAGGAGACTGGTAATGTTCCTAAATTGGATAACATGTGAACACGTCACAGATAAGAGCTTGGTGTAAACGGTAAAGGCTCCCAGACAGCTAAGGGTTAAGCCGGAGT